AAATGATTTAATAGATATTTCTGGGTGATTGTCATTCATGTCCTCCACAAGAATTTTCAGTTTACATTGTCCTGACAAAGCATTGGCTCCTTTATCAGTTGCAATAACTTCCATATCATAAATCCTGACATCTTCATAATTTAACACTCCTTTTACAGTAATCTCACCTGTACTTGGGTTTAAATTAAACGTCTCTTGGGTTTTCTCCGACGTATACAAACTATATGAGTATATTAAATCGGAATTTGACCCTTCATCCATATCAGTTGCATTGAGGTGAATAACAAGACTTCCAGTGGGAGAATTTTCCATTATAGTGATGTGGTGGCTGTCTTCATCAAATGTAGGGGCGTTGTCATTTGTGTCCAAAACATGAACTATAATGCTGGCAGTACCAGAACGAGATGGCATACCGCCATCTACTGCTGTAAGTATTAAATAATGAACAGCCTGCTGCTCTCTGTCTAATTTTTTTTTCAGGATCAAGTCAGCAAATTTAGATCCATCTCTTCCCGTTTGAATCTCGGTTGTGAAATAATCACTTTCACTCAAGCGATATGTTTTTACAGAGTTTGAACCAACGTCTGGGTCAACTGCATTGCTTACAGAAAAACGCTCACCAGGTTGTGTAGCTTCTGAAATATCTAAATCTATGGTGTCTCTTCTAAAGTGAGGTGCGTTGTCGTTTATGTCCAGTACCTCTAATTCGATGTAAAATATTCGTTTGGGGTTTTCAATTATTGCTTCCATTTTCAGATAACAGGATGTCTTTGCGGGACAGAGAGATTCTCTGTCAATTCGTTCAACAATGTACAGCTCTCCCGTTTCTTTGTTCACGTCCAGATATTTCCTATTGGCAATTATCTCAATGCGCATTTTCCGTTCGACTAACGTCTTCACATCTAGTCCCAAATCTCCAACTAAATTTGCAACGACAGAGCCTTCTTCGAGTTCCTCGGGGACAGAATAGTGTGTTACGGCTGAAGTGGAATTTAAGGTGGCTAGAAAAAGAAGAACTGCCGGCACGTACCTTTTCCAATGTTGAGAACAGATAAAACCTTCCATTGTCATCTTGGATCTTTGTTTTATTCACTGTAGTTTAAACCCTTCCGCGCATGATTTAAGAACGCTAAGAAACTCCAGTCAAATTCCCAAAAGAAATGTGTGTACAGACACTGAAAAATCCTTAAAATCCAAATTGATTCAGTACCAGGAGCTGTTCATTTGTGCCTTCTCCGTTTCATTTAATGGATGACTGTCATGGCGAACATGTCACAAAAGAAGACTATACGTGGTTGGGGAACAGCGACGCCGGGTGAAAGAATCAGACCCTGTCAGCAACGCTGATACATGCAAATTTAAATTACTGTTTTGTGCCAGAAATCAGCCTCTGTCATGATATATGCTTTAAATTCGTCTTAGTCATCTTGGTCAGTTTGCAGGTTGGAAAGTTTTAGTATTTCTATTCAACTATTTTGTTCTCTTTTATGTGGGTTGTTTTATTTTTTAACGCGATTCTAATCAAATTTTGGTCTTCGGTATGATGTTGTTTTTTTTATTTGTTTGTTTGATTTTTGTTTGTTTCTGGAGTTGGATTCCGTGTCTTCTTTAATACTATAGTACAGAATGGGAAAAAAACACAGAGTACTGAATTGTAAAGGAAGAAAATTGCAAATTCTAGTTCATTGGGAGTTTATCACTAAAAAATGTATTAATGCAATAGTTTCCAGTACTATTGGGAATTAAATGTAAGGACACAGATTTTACTGGTAAAAGTTAAACATCGATCTCTGTTGCATGAAAGAGAAGAAATAAGCATAGGGGCGTCTTGAATGTGTATTTATATGTTCAAAGTTACAATACTAATAAGCGAAAACTTTCAGAGAAAGTTTACACATTACATAATCATATACAGTATTAAGATTCAAATCATGTCCGACAATAAAAGAAAAATCGTTTCAAAGGTATTGTAGCTGGTGAAAGTGCTGGATCAAGAAATCAGTCTCACCTGCAAAGTGGAAGCTGCTGAGTCACTAGTGTCTGTCACTCCTGTGCCTCTTGGTATACTGGACACGATGTATCTGGAGCCCTTTGGCACAGGCTGTCTGACCACCAGCTTTCCTTTCCTGGTCTCTGCTAGAAACAGACTGTACCAGTAGGCATCGTTGGAGACCAGAGTGGAATCTGCGATGGTGGAGTTCCTCTCACTGATCACACTGTTCCTGCAGGGAGGAGCTGCTTTGCTGGGTTTGGGTTTCTGGCACTTGAGCACGATGGTGACCAATATGGTGATGAGCAGGAGAAATGACACTGAGCCCAGACCGATCACCAAGTACAGGTTGAGGTCTGAGAAGATGTCATACTCTAGAGGCACCTCAGTCATGTCAGAGTAGGCCTTAACAGCAGTCTCCACTGTGGACAGCTTGATGGTGACTGTAGCAGAGAGAGCAGGCTCCCCGTTGTCTTTGGCAACAACAACCAGTCTCTGGTGGCGTGGATCTCTGTAACTGTACATCCTCATAGTCCGGATCTCTCCGTTGTATTGGTCCAGACTGAACAAGGTGGCGTCAGTCACTTGTAGAAACTGGTAGGTAATCCGAGAGTTGTGCACCGAGTCTGTGTCTAAGGCTATCACCTTGGCAACCAGAGAGCCTTTATCTGTGGATCTGGGGATCTTTTCCTCCACCACTGAGCCGTGTGCGCGCCACGGAGAGACAATAACCGGAGCGTTGTCATTCTGGTCCACAATAATGATGTGAACGGTCACGTTACTGCTGAGTGGAGGAGAGCCAGAGTCTCTGGCCTCAATGTGGAAAAGAAACTCCTTCTCGATCTCATAGTCAAAAGTTTTTAGTGCGTAAAGATTACCGTTCTCTGGATTGATGGAGAACAGCATGGACATGGAGGTGTTGGCTATCTCCTTCTCTAGGATGAAATAAACTAGATACTGGTTTTCATGGAGGTCAGGGTCAAAGGCAGTGAGTGAACTGAGCAAGGCCCCAGGTGCGTTATTCTCCATTACACGTATAGTAGAAAATGACTGAGGGAACTGTGGAACATTGTCATTAACATCCAGCAGCTCTAAAGTCATAGTTTCATTGTCAGATAAAGGAGGAGAACCTCTGTCTGTAACAGTGAAAGTGATGTCATATTCTGGAACCTTCTCACGGTCTAACAGCTCTGACACCACTAATTCATAATAGTTATCAGAGGATTCTCTCAGTTTGAAAGGCATATTATCTGGAATATGAAGATCAACCACTCCATTGTCACCTGAGTCTTTATCACTTACACTAACTACAGCTATCACTGTGTCTAATTCTATGTTTTCATTGACTGGACTCTGAAACGATTTAATAGATATTTCTGGGTGGTTGTCGTTCATGTCTTCAACCAGAATCTTTATGGTACATTGTCCTGATAAACTATTGGCTCCATGGTCAGTGGCTATAACTTCCATATCATAAATCCTGAAATCCTCATAGTTTAACATTCCCTTGACAGTAATTTCACCAGTGGAAGGATTCAGATTAAATGTATCTTGTGTTTTCTCTGACGTATATAAACTGTATGAGTATTTTATATCAGAATTTGACCCCTCATCTAAGTCAGTTGCATTGAGATGAATAACAAGACTTCCAATGGGAGAATTTTCCATTATTTTAACAGTATAGTTTGTTTTGTTAAATACAGGAGCATTGTCATTTGTGTCCAGAACATGAACAATAACACTGGCAGTACCAGAACGAGAAAGTGTGCCTCCATCTACAGCTGTGAGTATTAAATTATGAACAGCCTGCTGCTCGCGGTCTAAAGTCTTTGTTAAGATCAAATCAGCAAACTTCGACCCTTCCCTTCCTGTCTGTATTTCAATATTAAAATATTCACTTTCACTCAGATGGTACGTTTTAACTGAATTGGTTCCAACATCAGGATCAACTGCATTACTCAGAGAGAATCTCTCTCCTTTTGGCGTCGCTTCAGATATGTCCAAGTGTATGGCGTCTCTACGAAACTGTGGGGCGTTGTCGTTCATATCGAGAATTTCGAGTTCAATATTAAAAATTCGTAGTGGATTTTCTAGTATGACCTCCAGTCTAAGATAACAAGACGACTTTGCGGGACAAATATATTCCCTGTCAATCTTCTCAACAATGTACAGTTCACCAGTCTCTTTGTTCACGTCCAGATATTTCTTATTTGCAATGATATCAAGACGCATCTTCCTCTGGTTCAGTGTTTTAAGATCCAGGCTGAGATCAGTGGCGAGATTTGCTACAACGGATCCTTCTTTCATTTCCTCGGGTATTGAATAATGAGTCACTGAGCTCGATATGTTACGAACGAAATAAAAAAGAACAACGACGACCGTTACGTACCTTTTGCGAGACTCCATTGTTACAAAAGACGGCATTGTTGTGCATGAGCTCACTGCATTTCACCATTTATAATGTAGATTTCCAGTAATATTGACTTTTTCAGTAATTGTCCTGATCCCAAACATATTCACACAATTTTAATTCCGAGGATATATCGGCCTTCAAACGGGCCCACGCATTTTCAGAGCGGGTTTTCAGCACCGTGGAGCTGTCCGTTTGATTCACAATCTGACGTAATGTCAACGACGTTCCCTCATGGCGTTCATGGGCTGGTATTTTACTAACAAACAGCGCCACCCATTAGGTTTTTCAAGAACTCTTCAACTAGATTTATCACAATGACCTTAAAATGTAGTGTATTACTATGAATGGTAGTTGAAACTGAATTTTGCAAACGAGAAAAATCTGATTCATTGACACCTCCTGTGAGCTTAACTAACGAAGATTAATTACTACAAAATTCCTACAATCCAAAACAAATTATAACTTAATATCAATACATTTTAATTATCAAAACACGTGTTAATTTGATTCCTACCTGCAGAGTGGAAGCTGCTGAGTCACTAGTGTCTGTCACTCCTGTGCCTCTTGGTATACTGGACACGATGTATCTGGAGCCCTTTGGCACAGGCTGTCTGACCACCAGCTTTCCTTTCCTGGTCTCTGCTAGAAACAGACTGTACCAGTAGGCATCGTTGGAGACCAGAGTGGAATCTGCGATGGTGGAGTTCCTCTCACTGATCACACTGTTCCTGCAGGGAGGAGCTGCTTTGCTGGGTTTGGGTTTCTGGCACTTGAGCACGATGGTGACCAATATGGTGATGAGCAGGAGAAATGACACTGAGCCCAGACCGATCACCAAGTACAGGTTGAGGTCTGAGAAGATGTCATACTCTAGAGGCACCTCAGTCATGTCAGAGTAGGCCTTAACAGCAGTCTCCACTGTAGACAGCTTGATGGTGACTGTAGCAGAGAGAGCAGGCTCTCCATTGTCCTTGGCAACAACAACCAGTCTCTGGTGGCGTGGATCTCTGTAACTGAACATCCTCATAGTCCGGATCTCTCCGTTGTATTGGTCCAGACTGAACAAGGTGGCGTCAGTCACTTGTAGAAACTGGTAGGTAATCCGAGAGTTGTGCACCGAGTCAGTGTCTAAGGCTATCACCTTGGCAACCAGAGAGCCTTTATCGGTGGATCTGGGGATCTTTTCCTCCACCACTGAGCCGTGCGCACGCCACGGAGAGACAATAACTGGAGCATTGTCATTCTGGTCCACAATAATGATGTGAACGGTCATGTTACTGCTGAGTGGAGGAGAGCCAGAGTCTCTGGCCTCAATGTGGAAAAGAAACTCCTTCTCGATCTCATAGTCAAATGTTTTTAGTGCGTAAAGATTACCGTTCTCTGGATTGATGGAGAACAGCATGGACATGGAGGTGTTGGCTATCTCCTTCTCTAGGATGAAATAAACTAGATACTGGTTTTCATGGAGGTCAGGGTCAAAGGCAGTGAGTGAACTGAGCAAGGCCCCAGGTGCGTTATTCTCCATTACACGTATAGTAGAAAATGACTGAGGGAACTGTGGTGCGTTGTCATTGACATCCATCAGATGCACGGTTATTGTTTCATTATCAGATAAAGGTGGAGTTCCAGCATCTGTCACTATTAATATGATGTCATATTCAGGTACTTTTTCACGATCCAAAGGCTCAGACACTATGAGTTTATAATGCATGGGTCTTTCGGATGACTTGTTAAGAATAAAGGGCATGGGCTGATGTATAGATAAGCTCACTTTACCATTGTCGCCAGTGTCTCTGTCACTTACTCCTACCAGAGCAATGACACTCCCTACTGGGATGTTCTCATCCACTGTGCTTTTAACAGACTGTATGATGATATCTGGATAATTGTCATTCATATCAGTCACGTGGACGACTACTTTACACTGTCCCAGTAAGGGTTGCTTCCCTTTGTCTCTTGCCTCAATGTGCATCTCATAAAATTTCATATCTTCATAGTCAATAGTACCCTTCACAGTTATCTCTCCTGTGTTAGGATTCAATGCAAAGACATCTTGTGTTTTTTCAGACGTGTAAAGTGTGAACGAATACACAATCTCTGAATTCACACCCTCGTCAGGATCTGTAGCATTAAGCTTCATTACTAAGGTTCCGGTGGGGGAATTTTCTGTCATGTTAATTGTGTAATTCTGCTTGTCAAACCGAGGGGGATTGTCGTTTGTATCCTGTACCCGGACAATAATATTGGCAGTGCCAGAGCGCACAGGGACACCGCCGTCCACAGCAGTCAGTATTAAATTATGAACGGCATTCTCCTCTCTGTCTAAAGACTTGGTGAGCACCAAATCCACATATTGAGTTCCATCACTGCCCGTCTGAATTTCGATGGTGAAATGTTCACTGACACTGAGTTTGTATGTTTTTATTGTATTTATGCCAACGTCTGGATCCACAGCATTAGGCAGGGAGAATCTCTCTCCCGGTGTTGCCGACTCTGAAACGTCCAGCTCTACTCTGTCTCGTCGAAAGTGTGGAGCGTTATCATTTATGTCCGTTATTCCAAGCTCAATGTTGAAGATACGTAAGGGGCTCTCTATGATAACATCAAGCTTTAGAAAACAGGATGTAGGTTTCGCCGGACAAAGATATTCCCTGTCCACCTTTTCCACAATATAGAGCTCCCCTGTCTTTTTGTTAAAATCTAGATATTTTTTGTTAGTGAAAATATCAAGTTTTACCTCTCGTTGCGCCAAACCTGCAGGCTCAAGTCCCAAATCCGCAGCAAGATTAGCGACAACAGAGCCCCTTTCCATCTCCTCGGCTATGGAGTACCGTGTCACAGACAAAGCACTGGGCCATACTGCACACAAGACAAAGACAGTGGTCCAAAAATCCATTCTTTTATCTGCAGGAAAAAATAATCCAGATTCTAAAAACATTTTTCTATTTTTCTTTATTTTAAAGATCTTGCAAAATGTTTAAAGGGTCCTGTTGTCAATTTAAAAATACATCGCATATCTTCCAGAAAGCTGTTCCTACACCCTTTACAAATGGGTGTGTCATGACTTCAATGAGAGAGATGCATTATGCTTTAGTGGTCAACAGTGACACCATGTGACAAACTGCACATAGAGCAGGAACTGTTGGCAATGAGCTGGCTATAATATGGTTTCACAGCACAGTAATATATAACAGGATTCACCTGAGTACTTTTGAATTTTCTGCTTGAGGGAAACTTTTTCAGTGTTCTCTCATTAACAGGTTCGTCTGAGATGCATGGTTAAACTGATCCTTGTCATTAAAAGACCCTGTGTTTCCTGATCACAATGCATTTTTCATAAGCTCACTACACTGTCTTGCATCTTAGTGAATTGTAATTAGATTAGTGTCACAAAAACTCCACCATTCCAAAGTATCCAAATGGTTAAAATGTTAGGAACTTGAAAGACATACATTTCTGTGAAACATCATGTGTGTCTGTCATTACGTTACAGCTCCTCTCTTTGACATAATTTTAGATGATCTACTGAGCTTCCATTTTCCTTGCTCCATGTATTTTTACATGTGCCAGCTGGTGCTTCAAGGTCAGCAGGCTACTACCTCTTCTGAACTGGCAAACTGCTTGCATCTTACAAAATGCTTCCGGTGTCACAGTTGTAGTCACAAGTAATGGAGATACAAAGGAAAATAGTTTTAGGAAGGGCTTCAGTTTGTGAAACTCACCTCCTGCTCATCTCATTTTCAGCTACAGTGTGCTACCATTTAACTTGTCTTTCAGATCTTTTAATTCAGTGGCTTGTTACTAGAAAAAAGAGCATATTCATAGGGTTTGTTTTCCCTCAAACAAACAATCCTCTCACCACCTATTTCAGCAACAGGGCCCCTCACACATTTCTCTCTGTAATGTGTGAGGTGATGATCTAGTCAACACTTTGCAGTGGCAAAACTAAAAGGAACATCTATAATATATTACAGTCTAATAACACACAATCTACAGTATCAAACACCACTGCTGAACTTAATCAACACCTGTTCGACACACTCTCAAACAGCTTCACAGAGAAACCACAATCCTTCTCTAACTTGAACCAAGCACAAGTGCCTTACATAGTGATTGCTTTTTCAAACAAGCTGGATACCCCTGTCTAATCAGAAATGAGTAGAAATAATCAACATTTTCATTTAAATGTTGAACAATAATAGTAATGGAAAAAATACTAATCCTGCTTGTGGAGACTTTTCATACAAGCTTTTTGTACTTGCATTTACCTGAATCTCTTGCTTGATGTTGTTTTGGGGGAAGGAAATCTATTGCATTTTAAGTCACTACTTTTCACTGTTTCATTGCATTCTTCTCATTTGGGATTTTCTCTGCTGCTGAGTATGCACTTTTGTGTGAAACAGAGGAGCCAAAGGAAATTAAAAGTTGGCTAATGGCTTCTGGCCGGTTGCTGCTTTTATTCCACCTGGAGTCAACAGAAGCTAGGAGAAAAAAAAGAACATGTTGTTAAGTTACAAAATGGATAATGGAATTGAAATAAAGCATTAAAGATCAAAACCTAGATTGTGACACAAATAGGAAAATGTATTTCTAAAAATAACCATATAAGTCATTTTTCTATTGATTCATTTTCAGATTACTTTTGCGTACACATCAACGTTTACACCCTACTGTGGCCTTCCAAGTGAAGAAGTCAAAAGTCAGTAATCTTAGCTTTCAAATGCAGACCAGCATATACACTCTAGATTCAGGGTGAAAAGGGTTGTGTACAGAATGCATCTGTTAGATTAAATCCCCTCTGCTACAGGGGATTGTCTGAAATGTAGTGGAGTATGTGTAAAGTACTATAAAACCACCAAAATTATCAGACTTGTGCTTAACTGTAGTACTTTAAAATAGGCCTACACTTAGTTGCTTACCATCAGTGGCTGTATGTCTATGTTTTAAAATCCCCCATGAGCCAGCCATGCAGGGTTGCTGTATGGTTCTGATTTTAACCATGCTGTGTTCATATGATTCATCCCAGGGATCCACAGATCACTTTATCATTCACAAACATTACCACTGATGAGAGATGAGGGTAATAGCAACACTCCACTTACATATGTTTGTGATTATGGCCTGGAGGTTTTGCTATACCCTGCATGCTTTTAGTTTCAGTTACAGCATTGCAAGTTGTCTCATCTTGACATAGCCAGGTTTAAGACAGTTCCGCTCCTGCTTGTTATCTTTCATATTAGCTTTTGTTTCTTGTTTTTGCCAAGGGGTAACTATATTACTAGTCACAGTCATGTTTGCAGTTTTGGTCTCCATACTGAAGGTCTCATGCAATCAGACTCCTGGTTAATTTACTGCAACAAGTGACACGTGAAAGTTGTTGTTCATTACACTGTGAGCCAGGACACATTTGGGATAATACACTAAGTTTAATACAAACAAAGCACAACTTTGTAGTTTTTAATGTTCCAACAATATTTCAGGAAACTTCCAAGGGACAGTATTATCGGTTAAGAGCACCAAATTCTACTTTATCACCAATAAAAAAAACTCTTCAACTACATCCAGGGTTGTAATTACCTTCAAATGTCACGTGGTGGCAACAAAGTACCAGGTTTTGCAATAGTGGCCCAGCTAAAATAATCAGTTACACTGTTTAACACTGTTAGCTAACAGCATCTGGGAGTCTGGTTCTAATGTTTTCAGAGCCAATTAAACATTCTCTTTACAAACAGCTGTGTTATCTTTGTGATCCAAATACTCGTGTTCATCTTGAACACAAACATTTAGGGTAACACATATAGCTTGCTAAGATACAGTACAGTATGTCAGGCATAAAGAGGAAAAAAATGCATTTAAACGACTAATACCCCACCCCTACTCACATTTAAACACACAAGCACACCCATATCAAGAATAAAACAGTGTATCTAGTCTGTATTTGCACACCATATCTTGATATGCATGTGCACAATATACAGTAAATTTGTCTAAATATTTCTAGATGTGTCCGTTCTTTTTTCGTATAGAAAAGTGGGATCAGAAACAGCCTTCATTTGATTATTAATAGCCAATCTTACTAATGATATGCTATTTTCTGTTGTTGTAGTCTTTGTGTATCTGTCTCAAAAAAGAAAAGAGAGAAGAGAAATAAATTAGTTCCTCTGCTCCTCCTGCCTCCCCTCTCAGTTGTTTTCCTTTTTCTTTCTACAAATGCATTCAGCCAATCTCCCTTTTTTGTCTGACACAGTTTTCATTTACACCATTTTATTCTCCCAGCCCCACACTCCCTGATTTTACTATATAAAATGAATCTCCTCTTGTAACCCTCTTTGTTTGCTGTGGAATGATTCTTACTCAATGCTGCCCTCTGCTGGAGAAACATCAGTGTTAAAAGATGGTGCAAATGCTCATCATGGGTACTTTTGTTGTCTGGGTAGATGAATCAGTGAACACAGTTCCAGTATCCAGTATTTGAAGGTGGTAAATATCTTTGACCATATTTATCTACAGTTTCTCATGCTGGCATGTAAATGTGTCACAAGTATGTTGCTTGTGGGATTCCACATGTCAGGAGTGATGAGCACCAAGCTGTAGTGGAATGTAACTAAGTATATTTACTCAAATTGTTGTATAGTACTGTTGTTGCTGTAAGTATTTCCATTTAACACCACGCTATTCTTCTAATCCAGTACATTACATTTCAAGGTGAAATACAGTACATTTTACTTCACTAAGATTATTTGACAGCCATATTTAGGATACTTAATTTGCAGCTCAAGATGATACATAAAAAACACCAGTTTCTAAAATGTGATACATTTTATAGAGAAGCCAAAGAAGCCAAATAAGAACCACCATTCAATTGTTTCTTGAACATCAATGCATCAGTAATCCAACCAACAGCGTTGTTGTTGGTTTATTTGTTGTTGTCATTGGTTTATTTGTTTTTTATATTAACATTATGCCTCCAAAGCATAAAACCCAGCATCACCACTGTTCATTATGAAGTGTCAAATGTGTGCCCTCTGGTGGACAGCTGACGAAATTACTGCTGGCTAGGAAAGAACCTCTGGTCAAACAAATTTCAGCACCATGGCGATGGACAGCTCCCAGTACGAGTGACCAACATAGTTAAAGGACGTGAAGTGACACAACTTCCTCTGTGATGAGTGTCATGCTCCTGAAATTGAAGAGACTGTGATATTTTAGACTTCATAATTTTGCCAATCACAGCATCATAATTCCACTCCTGTTTAACCAACTGCTATGTTTAAAAGAAAATAAAAAATTTGTATGAGGCCATTTGGTTTGGTCTCCAGCTGTAGACGTATACATGCATTTGATGTTCCTGAATAGGTTTTGTGAATATAGTGATTTATTTTTCTGTAAAGTGTTTCTTCTGTCAGAGTTCGAGGAAAAATATCACACCTCTGTTTTAGGTATAGAGCGCCATCCCTCACTCATCTGAAAGTACGCCAAGCTGACCTAAATATGGCTGCCCCTTTAGCCGTCCCTATGGATCACCTCACCGCAGAGAAGGTTAGCCTGTTCCCCTCCATGCTCTCTGTGGACACCCATTTCCTTATTAACCGAATTATTTTAAATCTGAACCATGGAACGACCTAATTACCCTGTTCATTTCTGGCCAGTGGCCAGCTCTCATCTGTTGATGGTAGGAGCTAATTCCCTGCGAAGTAAGCTGTAAAAGGGCACAGAGAGAAAAGCCACAGGCCTCCAAGCTCACATCCAGGTGTGTCATTTGGAGCTGAGCCCCCCTTCCCCTTGACGTTTGTATTCGTGTTGGTGGTCTTAATTAAAGTGATATTTCGAGAAAGGAGGTCCTGTTTGTTCAGTTAATGAACCCCACTATTCTCTGCGGGCAAATGGAAATGCAAGCACTCCAATTAGCATATGTTAGCATTTTACTATGTTTATTCCTCACTGTGGAAAACAGCTTACGAAGGCGAAAAGCTTTCCACCCTTATAAGAGTGGCTGTGGAACTTTTTCACCCCAAA